GGATTTGTCCCTCTCTCACGCCGAGGTCTCTCGCTTCTTGCCCTCCGTGTTCCGAGTCGTCTTGTCCCTTGCCTTCCTCTCCGCTGGTCCCTCGTTCGTCGTGTGGGGGCCTCTCACCTTGGGCCTGGGCCGCTGTCCTCCTTCCTTAAAGGAGCATGTGACGGTAAGGCCGGCCGGCGAAGCGGTGGGTTTGCATTTCTGCTAGAATCCCTCTCTCACGCCGAGGTCTCTCGCTTCTTGCCCTCCGTGTTCCGAGTCGTCTTGTCCCTTGCCTTCCTCTCCGCTGGTCCCTCGTTCGTCGTGTGGGGGCCTCTCACCTTGGGCCTGGGCCGCTGTCCTCCTTCCTTAAAGGAGCATGTGACGGTAAGGCCGGCCGGCGAAGCGGTGGGTTTGCATTTCTGCTAGAATGCAGGTGGATACGGGCTCAGCAGGTGCACTTGCGGTTTGTGGTGTCTGTGTGTGTGAGTATATGTATGTATACATATGCTGTATATGTTTGCATGTATGTGTCCCATACATACGTACAGCCCTGAGGTGCATGGCAGGCAGAGTCGGTTGCAGGACGGTAAGCCTTGATGGTCTCGGGACACTCGGGATGCGTTTGGGAAACCGGGGAGGAGAGGAATCTTCCGAATTACTGGAAGAGGCTGCTGTTATGCCTTTGCCATTTTTGGGAGCGTTGCAGGCCCTCTCTCATAGAACTCTGCAGTTGCCTGCCATGTTGAAGAATGAGTGTTTTATATCGCCTGGTGCTTGGAACAGTAAGATGCTTTAGGCCTAGGCTGAGAGTTCAGAGGATATTTTAGACATTCATATAAAGATTTTGCTGAGACTCCAAAGCCTTTTGGAAGTCTTTGCTGCTTGCATATATGTGAAGCACAGCTTTGGAACGCCAGTTTCCAAGGCCTTAAAACCACACCTACTGTGTTTTTAAAAAGAGCTGGAGGTTGAGAGAATTGGTTAAGGCAGGATAAAATTCATGCTAGCCATCAGCACTTTTGATCTGGATATTTACTTGGTTTTCATTGTGACAATTTTCTAAGGTAGAGTACATATTGCAAACACTTGCTGTTACTGTAGTCAGTACTGTGTTTAGTTGTTTTCTACATCTGAAGGTATTAAAAACTTTATAACTGCTAGATAGCAATCATTGCTGCCTTGCAGATAGATGTTTACATGCTGGGGTTGCTTTAGTTTCTTTGTCCTGGAGAGTTAGGCCTGCAGGAATAATTGAATCTGAACAGATTAAATGCAAATTTGTTAAAAATCAATTTATTCACCAGAGGTTCTATTGACTTGAGAAGTAATGCTTTGGAACCATTATTCTTTTAGGTAATGATCTTCTAATATCAGTAATTGCTCTCTGTTCTAACACATGCAAAATGAGCAGCACATTCCAAAAGCTTAATCTGCTACAAGCATTCCGTACAATTTATTTTAAAAACCCTCTGTATATTTAGAAGCAATGTGTAAGGTCATGTTCTAACAGCCACTCCCTTGATTTGGTACTGTAGTGCACAGTTAGAAAAACCATGCTGGTACTGGGAAAGGCAGATATACTGCACTGATTTTGAACTAATTTTATGACCATGTGGATGGTTCAGGGACCAATATGAATGGAGGCACACTGTGGCTATTTGTCTTAGGATTTTGGTGTAGTGAATGAATATATTTGATTGTGATGATATGGCATAACCTGCTGGATTGAATTTCTGGGCAGGTAATTCCTGAAATAAATACAAATTGAGTGTATAATCAAATGCGTGTTCTCAGAAACTATTACGAAAATGTACTGCCATAGCTATTGTATGACTGTGATAGTAAGAGACAGCATGTGAAATACTTGTTTAGGTAGTTTGACTTGTTTTAAGGTTATTTTCATTGAAAGCCAAGCAAAGGTTCCCTTGTTGAGAATTCGTAACTACAGCTATTCCATTCTTATAACCATAAAAAAACAAGGACATTTATAAAGCAAGAAATGCTTAATTTCCAGCTTGAACTCACAGCGGTATTTTTAAAAGGTTTAAAAGGTTTAAGGCTTATTTTTATAAAGTCTTTGCCTTTTTTTGAGAGCATAGAATAATCAACATGCTTTGTGTCTTGTAGGGTTTTAGAGATTTAAAATTTGGTTTTGGTTTTTTGTGTCTGTGAAAGTGCAGGATTAATTTCTTATTTGGTGGCATTTTTTTCCATTTCTAGTGGGAAGTTATGCTGTAACATTGTTGGCTGGCATTCTGAGGGTGCTACAGTGTGCAATACTTTCCTGAATGAAGCTTCAGTTTTGAAGCTTGTGTTTTATCTCTATTAAAAACCAATAATGGTCGGTCCTGAGAAATCTTAGTTTGGCATGTCAATTGGTTTTAGGCCTTTGCATAGAAACAAGGTCTTGTGTTGCCTGAAAGACGATAAGATGTATTTTAGCATATGCTCTTGTTAACTTTATTTCCGTAGCGTTCGAAAATGGGTGAGGAATGCCTCTTGGTCCCCCACTATTCAATTGAAAAGAGAATTTTTCTACCCCCTGCAATTTACAATAATTTACAAAGATACTTATATATCAAAGGGTGTTCTCCCTCTTCTGGAGGAAAGGGGATTTTTCTCAACGCTCCAGTGAAGTACAGTATGTAGTAATTTTAAGTGTATTTCTGGGGATTGCTGTTCTGTTTATGAGGGAACCACTTTTCAGATGGTAATGTTTTGGCTTTTTTGGTAAGTCACCTTGTAGGGTAACTGCCTCCTCACCATTGGATACACACAGTTATCAGCTAATGTAAATGAATGTACCATCTGGGCCCAACTGGAGGTCTGTAACAATAAACATTAATTATAGCAGAGTTCCACAAGTAAGACATCACTGTCATTCATGGCCACCAGTTTCATTGCTCTTAAAGTTGGGTACCTCAGTAGGGCCTCTAGTGCTCCATGGTAGGGTCAATGTCTTATAGATCACTTGCAAGGTGCACCAATTTGCACATGAAGGGTGCCTTTTCAGTGGCTCCTGAAGTAACAAATAGGGGATCTTGTGTTTCGTGTTTTTGGATTGCAACTTCCAGAAGTCTTTCCCAGGAAGAATCCTAGAAATAGTACAGCGGTACCTCGACTTGAGAACGTCCCTACGTAAGAACAATTTGAGTTAAGAACAGCTCTGTTTGCAAAAAGTTGCTTCAACTTGAGAATGGAGCCTCGACTTAAGAACCAAACCAACCAACCAACCAAAAAACAACCTTTCCTGCCCTCATTTGACCTAGGTTCACCTTGGGTCAAAAGAAGAAGAAATTTAAAAAAATTTCACCCCCTAGTGGTAGACACGGATTAACCAGCTTTGCATTGGTTCCTGTGGGAACTAATGCTTTGACTTAAGAACAGCACCTCGACTTAAGAATGAAAAACAGCAGATATGAATTAAATGGTTTTCAATGCATTCCTATGGGAAATGGTGCTTTGACTTAAGAACGTTTCGGCTTAAGAACACAGTCCCAATATGGATTCAGTTCTTAAGTCGAGGTACCACTGTAGTCCACAAACTCAAATCTGCAGATGTCTGCCACATCCCTGAGAAAAGGGCTTCAGGTTATTTGCCCTGAGACTGACTTAATTTCCTCTAGTTTCCTTCCTACCACAGTGCTTCCTAGAAGCCGTAGTACTTCATGAGGTACTTTCTGTAGAGCAAATTGGTGAGCAAGTCTACAACTCTCAGCATCCTCAATGCCCAGGAAGGCCTGGCCACCAGACACTGAGAGTGGTTGACTAACCAGATGCAAAGATGATACGAGTCATAGTCTAGCTGCCCGCTAGGTTCTGCAGAAAACAGCCCCCAAGGAACTATGATTCCCAGTAAGCACCGTGGCAGGAAGAGGGAGAGAATGATGCCAACATCAGAGGTAAATAACCTGAGCCCTTCTCTTGAGGGAGTAAAATCTAGAGGTCTTTATACTTTGGTTTATGGGCTGTAATTCCCAAAATTTGGCTTAGGAATTCTTGGGAAAAGTCTGATTATCAAACCAGAAAAAGAAAGGAAAATGCCCTTTGTGAGAAAAAAATGTGTGGTGATATTTTGGGAGTTAATTGCACACTCTGGCAGTGCACTGATTCCCAGACCATGTGTCCGTGTGCACTTCTCTGGTGCCAGTGCACCACAAGAAGTTACATAAGTACTCTCCCACAGTGAAGGCTGCCTGCTGTATCTCTCTTTGATATTCTTCTCTTGACTCCTTTCAGCCAGACTCTACTAGTGATGGTGTGCTAACTCTGCTTTCAGTTGTAACTGGATCATGCGGGTTATTCCCAGTTTAACAGTTTCTGCTAGTTCACTTGGCTTCAGACTAACTATATTGTGCAGTCAGAAGGCATAGTCTGAACATTAGTTCATGCAGAAGTGTTCCTGTGAATGGATAGTTTTTGTACAGTAGAGGTGGGAGCCATGTAGTCTGCAGGTCTTGTTGCACTCCCCAAACTGTTTTTGATTCCATTTTGCCACTGAATTTAGCATCTCCAATTTCTGACAAGAAACAAGGTGCACAAGTCCTCTTTTAAAGAAGACTGCTGAACCTGGAAATCTCCAGGTCAAGTGATTAGACTTTGAAACAAGACAACACACTGCCTGTTGTTGTTTTTTTAATGGGAAAAATGTGTTTTCCCAAACTTAAAAGTGAGCTTTTTATTTCTGCCAAATTCAGTGGCCAGTGGGACTTATATGGGTTCCTGTGGGTGGGGATTGTCTCTGTATCCTGCAAAGTTGTATATCTTCATTGTGCATACTATATAACTTTAAAGCAACTGTGAGTCTTAATACACTTCTAGTTTCTGAAAGCCAAATATATATTTTTTCAGATGTTTGTGAAGTATTATGCTAACCCATCTAACAAGTAGTGCACTTGTATACATTGCAAATCTTACTTAGCATGTTGATCTTCTGCAGAATATTGTGTGAATAAAATATGTTGAGAATGCAGATCTTGAGATTCTGGTTATGTAAGAGCAATGCAGTTGGGAACACCACAGCAATATTGGTGACCTTCCCATGTGACACTACATTAAGCGTTATAATTTGGAAGCTTTTTCACCCACACCATAGGCATTCACTTCCATTCCATCTTTTGCTTTATAGTTTATTCCTCCAGCTGTTCTTTGACTAGAGAGTGGTGGAATCTCTGACAAGTGGAGAACCACAGATGTATTTTTGATTTTAAATATTCTGGCCTTGTTATTTAATTCTTAATATGGAAGAGTAGCCTAAGTTTGCACAAGCTTTTTATTAAACATAAACTTGACTGACACAATGAGTATATTAATTTAAACATTGGTACAAGTGAGGGCCTGCTCACTTTTCTCATGCCGTCATAGTAGTTACATGAACATAAAAG